CCAGTCAGTGCCATCTATCAGTACCCATCATCAGTGTCACCTATCAGTGCCGCCTATCAGTGCTGCATATTAGTGCCGCCTATCCGTGACACCTCATTAGTGCTGTCTATCAGTGCCGCCTATCCGTGCCACCTCATTAGTACTGCCTATCAGTGCCCTTTAGTGCCCATCAGTGCCGCCTATCAGTGCCGCCTATCAGTGCTGTGCTCCTCATCAACGCACATCAGTGAAGGAGAAAAATTACCTGTTTGAAAAATTTTATAATAGAAACAAAGAAACTTTTTTTTTTCAAATTTTTTGCACCTTTTTTATTTATAGCGCAAAAAGTAAAGTGCCCAGTGGCGATTAAATACCACCAAAAGAAAGCTCTATTTGTGAGAAAAAAATGATCAAAATTTCATATGGGTACAATGTTGCATGACCGCGCAATTGTCAAAGTGCGGCAGCGCTGAAAGCTGAAAATTGGCCTGGTAAATAAGGGGGTATAAGTGCCTGGTAGGCAAGTGGTTAAAGTGTTACTAAACCCACAACAGTAAAATCAGTCTGTATATGCAGTAAAGCATGCTTGTTATACTCACTGTGGAACCTAAGGGGGTAATCCTCTGCATTGTGTAAAAAGGATGTTTGATCTGTTCTTCTCTGTTTCTTCCCCTTTTCAAGGGACCACCTCTTATCTTCTGATAAGACAGACTAAACCGTAGGCATTTGCTCAGTTTAGTGTGTATTGCTAGAGGTTCTTTTTTTCTTGGGATAATGCACGTGATCAGCACAGGGCCAATCAGCACTGGTCAGACAGAGATCAGGGGTTCTGCATCCTCCTAGAGCAGAAAGAAAACTCCTCCTACAAGCTTTAACCAGTGCTCTGCTGAAGTCACAAGACTGCTCTAACTGCTGATGTAAAAAGGTATTTAGCAGTTTATATTTACTAAAATAACTATTTCCATGTTCTGTATACTGTGGGAGACTAGATATAGTGAATGCAGGATCCTGGGTTTAGTAACACTTTAAAAAAAAAAACACTCACAGTATCATATACCATATATGCATTTCAAATCCTTCCCTATTATCAGTTACAAATCAATTAGGATATGATTATCTTGAAAGTGAAGTACTTTGTTTACCTGTTAGAAATGTTATTGACCGCTTTTGCAGAGACACTTATAATTAGGTTTAAAATGAAAAATCTTTTCCCGCTACAATACAATTAGGACATTCGTTTTTCATCAAGATGCCATTTTTGTGTAGAGTTGTTTTCATAACATAATGGCAAAATCGATTCCCACATACCAGATTTTCATTACCAGGATGGCCAGCTGATTATGTTTACATTGAAAAATGACCATCTAAGTTTTCCTTGATCCTGCATTATTCATGGCAAGTGATGATGAGAGCAGGGCAGTGACATAAAGAGAAAAACGCATGCAAAAATGTAGTAAGAAACTAGGAAAATAACATTTTGTAACAACATCTATGAAGGGATCTCAGCCTCAAGCAGTCTTATTACCTAGGCATAAATGCAAATTAAAGCTGGGTGTCTTATAAGTTACACTTAGGGCTCATATATACTTGTGTTAACCCTCTGAAAAGTGATGAGCGGTGAATCACTTTTCAGAGGCATTTAGCATGCAAAAAGAGGTAGGGTTGCCACCTCTTCCGTTTAAAACCAAACCTATATTAACCACTTGCCTACCGTGCACTTATATACCCCCTTCCTGCCCAGGCCAGTTTTCAGCTTTCAACGCTGTTGCACTTTGAATGATAATTGCACGGTCATGCAACATTGTACCCATGTGAAATTTTTATCTTTTTTTCACACAAATTGAGCTTTCTTTTGTTGGTATTTTCTCGCTGCTGGGTGTTTTATTTTTTGCGCTAAAAAAAAGAGCAAAAAGTTTAAAAAAAAAGTTTTCTTAGTTTCTATTATAAAATTTAGCAAACAGGTAATTTTTCTCCTTCACTGATGTGTGTTGATGAGGCTGCACTGATAGTCGGCACAGATAGTCGGCACTGATAGGCAGCACTGATAGTTGGCACTGCTGGTCACTTGTGGGCGGCACTGCTGGGCACTGATCAGTGCTCTGATGATTGGTCCGATCCCTCCTCTGACAACTGCCGGTTCTCGGCAGTACTTTCTTCACGCTGTGACAGCATGAGGAAAGTGCAGCCGATAACTGGCAATTTCATTTTACGGCGATCAGCGTGTCATTGAACACGGCTAATCACATGGTAAAAGGCCGCTGTGATTGGCCTTTTACCACATCACGTGATCAGCTGTGTCCGTAGGACACAGCGATCACGGAGATCACCGAGGGGGGCATCCCCTGGGTGCGGGCAGGAGAACGCGTTCTGGGAAGACGTCATACGACGCCCTCCCAGAACTGGCCGGCCGCAGTGAAGCCATCATTCGGCTATCTGCGGTCGGCAAGTAGTTAATGACACAGGTTCTGAGGCTAATTTAATACAGATAAGGCACTGAGTTTAATTGCCACCTTAATCAGCCACAGAACCTGTGTCATTAATATGTGTTCAGTTTTAAAGGTATGAGGTGGCAACCCTATGAAGAGGTGTTATGTCACCTCCTCACTGCCTGTTTTGCTTGCTGAACATGATAGGGGGGTATTATTTGCAAAGCACTGTAGCCATGGCATGTGTATACTCTCATGGGGCTCTTTGCAGCTTAGGAGTGGTTGAGCAGGAGTAAAAACACAGCTCACCCGCCTGATTGTACAACGCCCCCCCCCAGCCACAAGTGTAAACTAGGCCTTACTGAGTGCTAACGGCTCTACAAAGAGGCTCATTTTTAAAGTTAAACATCTGTATCCACTTCAGTTATCCAAGCATGCGCAGATGAAATGAGTATTGCTTTTTACACGATTGGATATTTCAAATAAATTGTCACAGAGGCCTATTTAAAAAAAATTGCTTTGTGAATGTCTGATCATTTGCACAAAAGCCACAAACAACACCCGTAATGTTTGTAATATACCAGTTTCTATTTGTTGCCTTTCACAGGGCAAATGTAACATTTCTTAACATTTGATCCTAGGGGGAAGAAAGAGCCTTAAGAACATTCAAGGAATGGAGCAAATAGCCTATATTGACTTACAACAGTTGGCCAAACTCCATTGTTTACCTTAGGTTATCTATTGCTCATTTGTGAAGACTTTTACCCCAGTAAACTTGTCAAACAACTAAAGCCCCGTACACACAATGAGAATAGAGTTTTTTTTCGCCTGCTAGTCTCACATCGAAAGTGAAAAGGTTACCAAAGATACAAAATTCTATGAAAGAAAAGAATTTCAAAAGTAATGTCATGTATTTGTATTGTATTTTTGGACGACTACTGTACTGATTAAACGAAAATCGTACGATCTGGTATCGTACGAGAAAATTATTTGCCCTTCTCCCTTCAGATATTGTTGCACAAATTGTCGTGATCGGCTCTAAAAAGCTGTCTACTAACGATCTGATTATTGGACGATCGGTCCTCGTACGAAAATTTTCGTATGATTTTCTTATTATGTGTACGGGGCATTAGTTGCATCCAATGGGTCTATTTACTCAGTAAGAGCTTTGTCATATTTTAAGATCACAAACTAACATTTTTTTAGAACAAACACAGCATTCTTTTGGGGATATTTTCTTGCAAAAGAATTTGTTTTTTTATGCAATCCATAGATACAAAAGTAAGAAAAAATTTGGTGATGTATTTATTGTGCTGTTTGCTGGAGAGGAATCTATAATGCATGTATTCTCATGTTTGTTTAATTCTTCCTGTGCATCTATGCATTGTGAACCCCAATTGCTGCTTCTTGACCACTTAAATACTGCCCTAGCAGTTATTAGGTCACTAGTCATCAGCAGGGTGGCTCTGTGGCAGGGATGCAAAGCCCTGCCTCTACCAAGATGTCTGCCCCCCCAGAGATACAGCACAGATCAAGTTAGTAACATTGAAGACAAAATCTGCAGGGATCCTACAGGCAATACTGATGACTAGTGCTATGTCCTCTGCTCTCTTTTTTAGATACAACTTCCAAAGATTAGGTCTTCTTTAGGCAAACTCAGTGGCACCTCACCAGAGTAGCTGGTAACTCAAGCATCTTCCCCTAAACCTTTAGAACCAACTAAATGAGCCCTACAGAAAAGAAGCCAGTGGTGCTATTACCCACTACCTCTACAGGAAAGGAACCACAGCTTCCACTCACTCATGCAGCCTTTTTTTCTTTTGCAGTAATTATTATGTCTGTACAGTACAACTTTTATATAGTTGTATTATTCATAATGTATAGTACATTGTGCTAGAAATTACATCCAAAGCTCAAGTCAACCAACAGATTGTCATTTATTCTCATTTAAAGCAGAGCTCCACTCAAAAGAGGTAGTTCCGCTTTAAGCTCTTGTCCCCCGTTCCCATTAAGGATTGGCACCTTTGGGGAGCGTGTACCTGAATTTAATAGGTACCCACTCCCACTGCAATCGCCTAAGGCGATCGGAAGCGGAAGTTGTCCTCCCCCCATCTCTCCCCGTAGTCTTCTGGGACACGTGACAGGTCCCAGAAGACTACAGGACCATTCACAAAGAGCAGCACTACTCACGCATGCACAGTGGGCACCCGGCTGTGAAGCCGCAAGCTGTCACAGCCGGGTGCCCACACTGAAGACACCAGCACCAGGGAGAGAAGACGGCCAGTGAAACCAGCCGTGGTGATGACTCTGCTGAACCGAGGGACAGGTAAATGTCTGTATTTTAAAAGTCAGCAGCTACAGTAATTGAAATCCAACAGACCCAACAGTCATGACATGCATGCCGCTGATTCTGTGTAATTGAATCACTAATTGAAAGGGGCATGTTCAAAATAATAGCAGTGTGGAGTTCTATTAGTGAGGTCATTCATTCTTTGAAAAACAGGTGGCAATTATTGCCCTTATTTAAGGAAGGAAGGCAGCAAATGTTGTACATGCTGGTTACAGTGCATTAATCTCTGAAATTCTGAGGAAAATGGGTCGTTCCAGACATTGTTCAGAAGAACTGCGTACCTTGATTAAAAAGTTGATTGGAGAGGGGAAAACATATAAAGAAGTGCAGAAAATGATAGGCTGCTCAGCTAAAATGATCGCAAATGCTTTAAAATGGCAACCAAAACCTGAAAGATGTGGAAGAAAGCGAAAAACTACCATTCGAATGGATAGAAGAATAGCCAAAATGGCAACGATTCAGCCAACAATCAGCTCCAGGAAGATCAAAGAAGGTGTAAAATTACACTGTTCAACAGGTAAAAAGTTTTGGGCATAAAATTAGCTAATCTTACATAATTTTGGGGTGCTGAAAACGAAAATGACCCTAAAAAAATGTTGATTGGCTCTAGTTTCCATGATATATTCACCCATCTGACGTAAGCCATTCAAAATTATGATGCAACTTCAGCTGCATATTGCGCAATTGATACTGGTGACCAATAGAAAATTGCATGTATACTGAGATGATGCAATATTAGCCTTTAATTGCATCACTTCACTGCATAAAAGCTGCAGTATCTGTAGCTGATTGTAGTTCGACAGCGTCTTTACATTTCGTTTTATGCTTATATAGGCTACTCAGTAATGCCTCCAACTTGTGTGAATAAAGCAGATAATTTCTGCTATATCTGCGGTGAAATAACTTTTATCTCACAAAAAAGGAGGATAACAGGAATGATTAAGAAAGCCTACAACTTGTATTTTGGCTGCAAGATAGGAGACCAGGACAAGAGCTGGGCACCACATATATGCTGCAATTCTTGTGGGACGGCACTGGAGCAATGGTTGAATGGAAAAAAAAGGCATCTATGCCTTTCGCTGTGCCAATGTGCCAATGATTTGGAGAGAGCCAACAGATCATGTTAGTAATTGTTACTTTTGTATGGTGCCTCCAATTGTAAAAGGGCTAAATAAGAAGAAAAAGTTATCTGTGCACTATCCAAATATTCCATCGGCAATACGTCCAGTTCCTCATGGAGAGGGGGTTACCAATTCCTAAAGCACCAGAATCCTTTGTGGTTGAGTCAAGTGAGGAAGAACCTGAAGCGTGTAGTCACGTGCAGTTGTAAGAGATAGCCCTTTCCTCGAATACAAGAGAAAAGCCAAGAGAAGCAAAACCGACACAAACTGAAGACAAAACTAGTGAGAATCCTAAGTATTAAAATGATTCAACTTAGCTTATGGCTATAATTTTTCTTGGTAATCCTATGCAATATATTATGCCATTTAGGCTTTGTTATGTAGTCAATATCACTTGCTTTATATTTGTGGAAAGACATCTATCTATATAATTATTGTGCATTATGTAGTCATTACGCCTATAGTAGAAAACTTTCCGTTTACAGAAAAACTAGAGCCAATTGACAAATTTCATTGTTATATTTGAACTCAGAATGTGAAATTCATTAAGAAATGGATCCTTTTGTTTCCAAAACTGGCAAAAAATAAAAATTTGTTGAACAGTGTTACCTGTGAGGACTGTTACAATTAGAAGACGCCTATGTGAAGCCAAGCTATCTGCAAGAAGCCCCCGCAAAGTCCCACTATTGAAAAAAAAGACATGTGCTGAAGAAGTTACAATTTGCCGAAGAGCACATTGACTGGCCTAAAGAGAAATGGCGCAACATTTTGTGGACTGATGAAAGTAAGATTGTTCTTTTTGGGTCTAGTGGGCGGAGACAGTTTGTCAGACGACCCCCAAACACTGAATTCAAGCCACAGTACACTGTGAAGACAGTGAAGCATGGTTGCGCAAGCATCATGATATGGGGATGTTTCTCATACTACGGTGTTGGGCCTATTTATCGCATACCAGGATCATGGATCAGTTTGAATACATCAGAATACTTGAAGAGGTCATGCTGCCTTATACTGAAAAGGAAATGCCCTTGAAATGGGTGTTCCAACAAGACAACGACCCCAAACACACCAGTAAACGTGCAACATCTTGGTTCCAGACCAACAAGATTGACTTTATAGAGTGGCCAGCCCAATCCCCGGATCTTAATCCAATAGAAAACTTGTGGGGTGACATCAAAAATGCAGTTTCTGAGGCAAAACCAAGAAATAGAGAAGAACTGTGGAATGTAGTCCAATCATCGTGGGCTGGAATACCTGTTCACAGGTGCCAGAAGTTGGTTGACTCCATGCAACACAGATGTACAGCAGTTCTCAGAAACAGTGCTTATACAACTAAATATTCATTAAGTGATTCAAAGGAAAGCAAAATCTTCAAACATTTTTCAGTTTATATAGTAAATGTTTGAGTTTGTAAAGAAGAATACAAACACTGCTATTTTGTTGAACAGTCTAATATTCACTTTTCTTCAATTTTTTTTAGAGGAACAACACAAATTTGATATGTTTGTCTTCATGTTTTGATTTGGAATAGAATGTGTAGTGTTCCCAATGCATTTGTGTGTATGGAAATAAAAGCTATTAGGATTTTGAGCTTTATTCACTTTTTTCCCCACACACTGCTATTATTTTGAACACAACTGTAGCTGAAAGATGAAGCTAATAGAAACAAGGAAGTCCAAATTACTCCTAAAGTTACACTCAAGTAATAGATGACTATTGAATGAGATACATTTGGTCAGAGGATCTAATGCTTCATACTAATACATTATTGAATCAGCCTTTTTACTCCAATGATATATACCATTATGATCTATTGCTGCTGCATAATACCCATTTTTTTGGTAAATTAAATACTCCAATCTTTTTATTAATGTATTGCTTACAATGTTATTGTAAGCTTCAGGTGTCACCCAGTGACCCCAGATCATTCTGTATTGCCCTGTGACCCAGGAGCATCAAGTGTGACCCAATGACCCTAGAGTGCCTGGTGTCACCCAGTATCATAGAACATCGTACAAAGGTCCGGTGTCACCCAGTAACCTCAGAGTATCTTTTTTTCACCCAGTGATTCTAGAGCATTTGGTATAAGCTGCTGTTTTGTAATAAAAATATATAAAGTGAAAAGCTAACCCATTCTCTATATCTTCATGTAAAATCTTAGCAATCCTGTCCATTTTTTCTGCCTATTTGTTTAACGGGTAAAATGGCCTCAGCCTTGCACCACTCCACAAGCACGCCCCCTGACATGTATCATCCCACCCACCAGGGCTATGATTAAGCCCCGATCACACTTGTTGGGAATTGGCATGTGATTTGCATGCCATGTGACTTGCAAAGCGGATGCCAAGTCGCACCCTATTGTCCGCAATTACAGAGGTCATATCGGTGCGGTTCCGACTTGGTCAGGGGTGAAAGCCTTGTTGTGTTGGGTGAATGCATATCAGAGGGCATGGCTTGTGAAGTGGTGTCAATAGTTCCTACTGACATAGTGAATCATATTGTTGAAGGAAGGATTTGTTTGTCTAAAACGCACCATGTCTCTTTTATGACGTTTGTCCACTGTAAAAGATTTGTATGTAATAAAACAGGTGATCACTGATATTTGAAAGATCTATTATAGCATAAAAATTCTGAAATGAACTATGTCTTTTAATTGGATTTAACATTCATTTACAAGCATATTATGGTATGTAATTGTTCTAGGTATACTTTTGTGATAGAACATGGGCAGACCTTGTTAAATTGGGAGAACTATTTATATTAAAGACATGCTAAGACTTTCCAGGCGCTAAATACGCTCATCGGCCACTTTATTGGGTACACCTGTTCAATTGCTTGGTAACACAAATTGCTAATCAGCCAATCACATGGCAGCAACTCAATGCATTTAGGCATGTAGATGTGGTGAAGATGACTTGCTTAAGTTCAAACTGAGCATCAGAATGGGGAAGAAAGGGGATTTAAGTGATTTTGAACATGGCATAGTTGTTGGTGCTAGAAGGGTTGGTCTGAGTATTTCACAAACTGCTGATCTACTGGGATTTTCAGGCACAACCATCTCTAGGGTTTACAGAGAGTGGTCCAAAAAATAGAAAATAAGTGAGCGGCAGTTGTGCTTTGTTGATGTCAGACTGGTTTGAGATGATAGAAAGGCAACACTAACTCATGTTAATATGGACCAAAATTTCTGAGGAATGTTTCCAACACCTTGTTGAATCTATGCCACAAAGAATCAATGCAGTTCTGAAGGCAAAAGGGGTCCAACCCAGTACTAGCAAGGTGTACTTAATAAAGTGGCCAGTGAGTGTATAAGTATTGAACATTTGTTATAAAGCATACTAAAAAACTTTCATTTTATTGAAAGAATCATAAATGTAAAAAAACAAAACAAAAGCTTTTGTATAGAAATTTTTATATACATATACAAACAATACCCCATAATCGTGAAAGAAGTTCATGTTGAAATCTTTGCAATTTATTAAAAATAAAAATACGAAAAAAAAATACATGTACATAAGTATTCACAGCCTTTGCTCAATACTTTGTTGAAACACATTTAGCACCACTTACAGCCTCATCAAGTCATTTTGAGTATGATTGTATAAGCTTGGCACACCTATTTTTGGGCAATTTCTCCCATTCTTCTTTGCAGTACCTCTCAAGCTCCATCAGCTTGGATGGGGAGCGTCGGTGCACAGCCATTTTCAGATCTCTCCAGAGATGCTGAATTGGGTTCAAATCTGGGCTCTGGCTGGGCCACTCCATGACATTCAGTTGGCCCATAGCCACTCCTTTGTGATGTGGGCTGTGTTCTTAGGGTCGTTGTCCTATTAAAAGATGAACTGTCGCCCAGTCTAAAGTCCAGAGTGCTCTGGAACAGGTTTTCACCAAGGATGTCTCTGTACATTGCTGCATTCATCGTTCCTTCAATCCTGACTAGACTCCCTGTTCCTGCTGCTGATAAACATCCCCATAGCATGATGCTGCCACCACCACTTCACTGTAGGGATGGTATTGGCCAGGTGGTGAGCAGTGCCTGGTTTCCTTCAGACAAGACGCTTGGCATTCAGGCCAAAGAATTCAATCTTTGTTTCATCAGACCAGAGAGTTTTGTTTCTCGTGGTCTGAGAGTCCCTCAGGTGCCTTTTGGCAAACTCCAGGCAGGCTGCCATTTGCCTTTTACTGAGGCGTGCCTTCCTTCTGGCCACTCTACCATACAGGCCTGATTGGTGGAGTGCTGCAAAAATGGTTGTTCTTCTGGAAGGTTCTCCTCTCTCCATAGAGAAACGCTGGAGCTCTTTCAGAATGACCATCGGGTGCTTGGTTATCTCCCTGGCTAAGGCCCTTCTCCTTCGATCGGTCATTTTGGCTGGGCGGCCTGCTCTAGGAAGATTCCTGGTGGTTCCAAACTTCTTCCATTTATGGATGATGGAGGCCACTGTGCTCATTTGGACCTTCAATGCTGCAGAAATTTTTCTCTACCCTTCCCCAGATCTGTGCCTTTACACAATCCTGTCTCAGTTGTCTACGGACAATTCCTTGCACTTCATGGCTTGGTTTGTGCTCTGACATGCACTGTTAACCGTGAGACCTTATATAGATAGGTTTATGCCTTTCCTAATGTCTAATCAACTGAATTTCCCACAGGTGGAATCCAGTCAAGTTGTGGAAACATCTCAAGGATGATCAGTGGGAACAGGATGCACCAGAGCTCAATTCTGACTGTCATGGAAAAAGCTGTGAATACTTATGAACATGTGGTTTTTTCCCTTTTTTATTTTTAATAAATTGCAAAGATTTCAAAACTAACTTTTCACATTGTTATTATGGGGTATTGTTTGTAGAATGTTGAGGAAAAAAAAATGAATTTAATCCATTTTGGAACAAGGCTGTAACATAACAAAATGTGGCAAAAGTTAAGAGCTGCAAATACTTTCTGGGTGCACTGTAAAGGGGGTTGGGGTGATGGCACAATCCTTCCAGTAGGATCCTGAGAACATTGAGCATTCCAAATATTGCTAGAAGATGTTCCAGCACATCACGGTACATTGTAAAACAATATATAGATCTTTATGATTCTGTTATTATTTTGCACTTCGATAACAAAAGGAAATCCAACGAGTAGGTGTGATCCCTCCAGAAACGCTAGTCCCACATATAAAACTAAATTCAGAGCTTGGCAAAGTAGTCAGATCAGGCAGTGTGCATCTCGTATTTTGTTCTTTTTAGAATAAAAGGAAAAGTTTTTTTTTTCAGATACGTTATGGCCCTGTATCTACATTATTGTGTGGACTCATGTCAGGGCCTTAGTCACTGGCTCAGTCTGAAATTAAATTCAAAGAAACTGTGCCTCAAAGCAAGCAACTCTGCTTTCTTTGACCCAAAACCCTTACCACCAGTCAGTATAAAATTGTCAGTTAAATGAAATTAAACATTGGTGGGAAGACTCATCCTTTTTGGACTCTGGGATCCCTGGACTGCAGGCAGTCTTCTTCTTGGTCTTTTTATTGATGTATATAGTGACCTAATCAGGAAACCTACTGATCATTGCAGAGAAGATTCATTCCCAACCATAGAAAAATACTTTTGCTTTTTTTATCACGCTATGCTACCACAACTGTTTATCATTCATATTTTCAGTAAAAAAAAATACACAAGTTTATTTTACAGCACACAAACACAATAAATTACCCAAATTTTTGCTAAAATATAACCGATAAGGTTGTGTCAAGTAA